AAGACGGCGACAGATGGGCGTCGGTACGTGGTGCGGTGGGCGGCGAGCGGCGGCCGCGCGCGCACCTACAACGCCAGCGACCTCAACTGCATGCTGGACGATCTGCGACCTTACACCACTTACGAATTCGCGGTTAAACTTATAAAAGGTAATTACAGAGATAACCTAAGGCTTTGACCTTCCTTCATCACATTTCCTGATAAAAAAACTATAATACATGTCACAAGTTAGCTTGGCAATTAAATATAGCCGTAAAATTTCAATGTAGACCTATGTAGACCTTCATGTACAATCGGGGAAATCCGCGGTGTCCCAGGTATATTGTCATGTTACAACGAAACAAACTCTATTTTAAAAAATAAACAATAAAAAAAGTGAACCACTAATTTACCTTTTACCGTAACGTCAAAAGGCTGTGACCTATTGTCAATTGGTTGTTATTTCGCGTCGACTCAAAACATTGAAACGACTGAAGATTATAATGGGGAATATCACCAAATTCCCCAACTGTACCCAGATTACTTAGTGATGTTTTACTGTGATTATAATTATTTAGTAACTAGCTGTTGCCCGCGACTTCGTCCGCGTGGTATAAGAAAACATACAAACTAATAAAAAGTTACGTATCCCTCGGGAACCGGACATTTCTCGGGGATGAAGCTTATCCCATGTGTACTCCAGACTTTGTTTTATATCTGTGACAAATTTCAATAAGATATATTTGAACCGTTACAGAATGATCCAGTATCAGAACAGATAGAACATTAAAAAACTAAATTAATGAATCCCACGGGAACTGTAACTATTCCCGGGATAAAAATTAGCCTATGTATTCTTCCAGACTATGCCAAACCTGTGACAAATTTTATGGAGATTCATTCAGCCGTTTAGGCTACAAACGCTAACAAACATCCATCCATCCATCGTAACTTTAGCATTTACTTGCTGTTCGCGTGCGGCTTCATCCGCATGAAATCATGAAAATTTTATTTTATTGTTTACATTTGTCAAATTATCAATTGCAAATTTTAAAATGACATGACTTTACAAACCTTGGTAATCTTGCTTCCTTGATGTTGGCAGCAACTCATGGTCTCTTTTTCACATTAGGGTTTTTATCTAAAGTATTTACTCCCTAACCCCTAAGTTTAATAACGTGAAAATGTATAGCCTAAAGCGTGACGTAAGTGTAGGGCTTTTTATTAAAGAAAGAATTATTCAAAAATAT